GAGGGAGGGTAAGTAAAATACCTCGGGGAAATCTGGATATGGTGCAGAGGCTTTTTGTAGATTGCAGTGTATCCAACCCATTCAGCCACACCTCAAATATTGGCCCCTCAAAAACTGTTTCAAGACTGCTAAAAGTATACCCTAGAGCACTAGAAATAAACCTTTGAGCCAATGGAAGGATGGTCTTCTTCAATAGTGGCTTCTCTTCTGATTTTGCCACCAAACAACCCATGTGAAGCCATAACTTTCACCAGACAATTGAATGACTTTGCCTCTCCAGGATAGTTCAACAAGATGTAACTGTAGCATGATAATGTAGCCTACCTGTTGCAGTTGCTCAGTTAGTCTCTCCAACTGTTGAGTGTTGAATAATTTCACATTTTCCTCAGAAGAGGTCCTGTAGATATTAAATGATTTCAAATATGAAGCAAGAATTTAACCTCAGTGCAGTTACAGGGAGAGAGATCACTTGGAGAAGTAAGACAAGGTAAAAAGGATGAAGAAAAACTACTCATGGAAAAAGTTTCATATACACCAAAACACAAATGATGTTACACATTATCAGACTATTGTTTAAAGGCAGTTATAGACAGGTCATTTGAGGAACTCTCCACCAATGGAAAGGAAGATAAGAATGCACTTAATGGTATTTCTAGAAAATAATATCACATTTGAAACACACCTGATGTTAAGCAGTTCTAGATAACTGATATCTTCACCCTCCTCATCTAAACAGAGTGCATCTTCAAAGTTGTCATACTTTAAATACATTCAAAGAAGAACAAATAAAAAAAAAAACCTACATCTTCTCTGAAAGCATAGTCAAATGAATCAGGGAGATGTATCTTTACTTCTTAAGAGTAAATGAATTAGCACTTGCAAAGTGCATAAAGGAATGGGGTAGAAATCATCATAAGCTGAATTATACACCCACTTTGATTGGTTCTTAATTTTGATCCATTGGAGGACAGATCTATATAGGACATCACCATTAACAACATTTCACCTCTTATCAAATAAAACAAAAAGGATTCCATGTTGGTCTGGGTCAGTTGTGTATCATATCACAGGTGATGTCAAAATGTGGTAAGATCTGTTGGAAAGTAGTTTAGGACCAATCAAGGTTCCAATATGAACATTTAATCTTACAACTTAGGATTGTGCTTGCAAACACAACATGAGTGAGGATTTCTTTAAAAAAAAAAAAAAAACAAAAGTAGGAGGTCACACTGCCCATAAGGCTATGCACCAGTACATCAATACGTCACACCCAGTCACGCTCACAAATTCTGACAAAAACATCAGTGACACTTGGCTGCACCTCATGGCCACTCTTTTGTTGTTACCACATTTTGACATCATCTGTGATCTAGTACTGAAGAGATGTATGGCCATATGAAGTCTTTGTTTTGAAAAGACGACTGTTTCCATTTTGTAACATTAAATGAAAGCACAACAAAACTCCAGTCACGAACAATGAGCTGCACCACTTTACACTAGTACCAACTCCAGTCAGTATAGTTAAAAACACTGTACAGGCCAAGCCAGTTAAGTATCACACGAGCTGCACCACTTTACACTAGTACCAACTCCAGTCAGTATAGTTAAAAACACTGTACAGGCCAAGCCAGTTAAGTATCACA